AAATCTCAGTTATTACATTGATCTGACATACAACTTACTTATTCTGCAGTAACCTCTGTTCAGTTCAACCCTGTTAATGAGAATTGCTTCATGAGTGGTTCAATTGATGGAAAAGTTCGAATCTGGAACATTTCTGGTTGCAATGTTGTTGATTGGGCCGATCTCAAAGACATTATATCCGCAGTGTGCTATCGTCCGGATGGACAGGGAGGAATTATCGGTTCTCTGACCGGTAGTTGCAGATTCTTCAACATGTCTGGAGATTATTTAGAACTGGACTCTCAGATACATTTGCATAACAAGAAGAAGTCTTCGAATAAACGGATAACTGGGTTTCAGGTAAATAATATCTCCTTTCTTTTCCCCTGGTCTTGATCCATTGTTTACTTCTCTCAACTAATTGATATGCCTGTTTTATCCAGTTTTTACCACAAGACCCGAGCAAAGTCCTGGTTGTTTCCGCGGATTCGAAAGTCAGAATTCTCCAAGGCAACAATGTGGTCAGAAAACACAAAGGTATGTTGCTTCTTATGCGCCTTCAACTTTCATTTTCTTTTGCATATCTCTATGATTGATTCTAAAGTAAGCTCATCTCTGTCTTCAGGCGTTTGCAAGACGAGAAGCCTCACATCAGCGTCTCTCACGTCTGATGGAAAGCACATTGTTTCAGCTTGTGAGGATTCCAATGTATACATATGGAGCAATGGGGAGGAATCGGAATCGGATTCTTCTTCCCAACCCAAGAAGATTCGATCTTTTGAACGTTTCTCCACCAATGCATCCGTTGCAACAACCTGGTGTGGATTCTCAGATCATAACACAACGCTCCCGTTTTCTTCTCCTTCTTACTTATCACTCAACGAAGGGTTTGTCCCCGGATCAGTTTCCAAAGGAAGCGCGACGTGGCCAGAGGAAAATCTACCCGCAAACCCTCTGTCTACATCCGCGATGAACGCATCTCATTACAAGTTTCTCAAATCCTCTTACCAGAGAGCAACTAGCTCTCTTGCTTGGGGTATGGTCATTGTGACAGGCGGTTGGGACGGACGGATCAGAACATTTCAGAACTACGGCTTGCCTGTGATTACTTGAACCAAAAAAGAAAAAAAAAACAAACCGGTTTGGTTTCTTTTCCTTACTTTGGAAAACAAATCAAATGCCATTGTTCCTTTCTTGCAAGGCACAGGCACATGGTGTTTTGGTAGATCTTAGAAGCTATTGGTGGGGTCCAAAACCAGATCCATTCTCAAGATTTATTGAGATATTCAATAGTCAAAAAGAGATTTAAATGTGGTACACTCCTCTAGATCAATGATGATCCTGTAGAAAATCTTTGAAGAAGGGTCAGTGGAGAGATTTCATAGGGGTTGATGTAGACGCTGGAGGTGATAAGGAACAGATGTTTCTTGTTGTTTTGGCAGTAAGTGGCGGTTGGAGATCGTTTCTTTCTGAAAGAGTACGGATTTGTCTGAAAGTTTGACAGGTGATGGGTGGGGCCTAAAGAAGAGAGGCAGGCAAGTAGTGATGGGTTGAAAGATGTGGTTCTAGGAGAAAGATGTTGATGTTAGTTACTTGCTTTGCTTCAACAATATATCCTCCATGGCTTCTCTTTTTTTTTTTTAGGATTTTGATTTGAGAAATTTCTAACCTAGTGTAGTAGCTTTTGTGTCCATTCGTTGATTCGGTGTAGTTTGGTGCTAACGTGTAGGTTTTTTTTAGCTTATGTAGATTTGATTTCCACTAGTGTGATTAGAGAGACAAAGCAATAGATTGTAAGGACAAGTCTAATTCAGAGAGTCTCACTAGTCTTTGTACTTTGTAAATTTTGTAAACAGTAAAAAA